GTAAAAAGTTAAAAGGCCCTGTCTTTTTTTTTCTGCACAGAAGAAATTGCTGCAGAGCATTGCTCTTGAGCAGACATGCCTGAGACACCGTTATTCCTGACCAGAATCTGTCCTGACAATTAACACTCAGCTTGGCAGATACTGCCAGGGACAGAGCTAATGCACTGTGTCATGATTATTGTACTCCTCCGAGCATAAATTGAATGGGGAATGGTTAGTAATTAGCTCCAGAAAAATAGACTCTACACTTGTCTTCTTTTGTCATTAACGTCCAGGCTGATAACAAAAGAAGCTCTGGTAATTAGCACAAACCCATGCAAGGGGTCTGACTGTGCTTCAAGAACTCTTTCACACATGCCTTTTTGTTCTAATGAAAATTTGACTTGAGAAAACAATGGGCAGTGGTAAGATAATTGTACATTAATAAGCAATAATGACAGCAGAAAGAAATTCAATTTAAGGATCTTTTCTCTTATTGGCTGAGAATAATTAATAAAACAATTATATACATGTCTCTGGATATAGATATGCAATGAAATACATGTATGCATGCAGCTCTCCTCCCTAACTTTCATGAGTAGAGAGAAACAGGGAGCTGCTTATGAGTTTCAGGCATATTCCAGGCTTCCAGAGATAAGATGTGCAGAACCTGCATTTTGTACACTGTTTCAGAGGAAAAGATACCCTTTGAATGTTGGGGATTTTTAACTTAATTTGATTTAAAGAGTGTAAAAAATACCCAAGGAGATCAGTACACGTGAATATTTGAATTTTTTAGTATATTTTTGTGTGAATATATGTATGTGTTTATGTTAAGCTGCCTCAATAGGTAGATATTAAGGTTGTGTTCATTGACTCATCATTTCAGGAGCTACACATTACATGTTTCAAACCCTGAAAATTTGCATAGTTTAGCTTTTAATGTATAAGAATCATAATGGTGAGATACAATTTCCCATGAGGATTAGAGACTCAGCTGTTGGAGGGGTGTAGATGGCTTTCTGCAGGTGTGGATATCTGAGGTGTAGACCTCAGACTTGCTACTGGTGCTGGACAGAGTTCTGCTCTTCAGTTCAGCCTAGTGTATTTTGGGGCTTAATGTATGCAGTGTGAAATAATATTTAATTTAAGTGTTAACAAAGGTAATGATGTGGTGAGAGTGAAGGGTTTCAGGACCTCAGCATGCTCCAGAAGGTCTGGAAACTCAGTAGCAAGTTAAATAATCCTTGTTACTCCTTTATGCTAAGGAGAAGCAAAGAGGTACATGGCAAAATTTTCAGCTACATTTTTGTTCCTCTGTCTCTTCTCACTAGCAGTTAAAACTTGGGGTAGAGCACATCTGCATGTGGAGCTGTACAGATGAAGCCTGTTTTCGTACCTTCACAGGTTGTGAGTTAAGCCCTCATAATCATAAGGCAGAGGTGATATCCCACAGCATAGGACAGCTAACTCCACTAACCCTGGAAGGGACAAAGGCTGTTGGCAGGGCCACTCAGTAACTTTCTCAATAGTTGTTTGTTTAATTTTTTTTATTAATGAGCTAATTTAATTTTAGAAAGGTGAGATATTCTTATGTTAACGTTTGATGCATTAAAAATAAGGATAATACTGATGGTTTGCAGCTATAGGACTTCCCTTCAGTTTACAACCATCTTTATGAGCAAACACTCCTGCTGTTTCCCATGTTCTCCAGTGGATCTCTGTACCTGATCCTACCTGAGGAGATATAATCTCTGCTTTCCCAAGCATATCTCAGTGTCCAGAAGAGTGAAGCATGTTCTTGGGGCTTGCTCCTAAACTGGTCAGGATTGGTGCTTAGTCCTCTTATCAAAATCCTGCCTTGCACCGAGAGCTCATAGTACCATAGTGCCCAAGGCCTCTTAGTACCATGTTAGGTGCTGCACAGTCTCATTGAGGACTTTCTGCTTTCTGAATCTTGGTGTTTATTTGGATTGGTTTTCATAATAAGATATGAAGATGCCAGCTAATGTAGATTCTCTCTTGGTTCTGTGTACAGTGAAACTCAAAGAGAAGGAAACTTCTTTTATGTGAAGAGTTGTGTTTTTTCCTGCCAGAAGTTGGGGAAATGGAGCTGAATTCTAGCTCCAGATGACAAAATTTTTGATGAAATTAATAATGGATAAATAGTCATGTGTTTAGCTGATTTCTGTGTGATTCTGAATTGAGTCATGGCTGGGGGTTGACTTTACCCAGCTGTCTCTATGCTTTAGCATATGCTTTTGGGTTTAGAATATAGCTCACATTTCCTACCTTTTTATTCAGTAGCTAGTAAGTTTTGGACTTCACCACAAATTAAACTGGAAAAAAAAGTGTATCAACGTTTAGAGCAACACAGAAAACTTTTATAAACTCCTTTGTATTTTTTGACCCCACCAATATTTGTAGAAAAAGAGAGATACTGAAATTCTCATGAGACTTCTAGATTCCAGTTTGTTCAAACAGTGAAAAGCCTCTGGTTTTCAACTGTAACAACTCTTTTTTTTTTTAGGGAATAATTTAGTGGTTTTTAACTCATATAAGAAAAATCTAGTAAGATCCTTTTTGAAATAATCTGTCTGTACTTCCTGGTACTGTAATGGAATTAAACATCACCCTCCTCGTGCATTACAACCCCTGCATTCCAAACTAATGTGAAAGAACATGATGCAAATTTTAGGTGAAATATTTTTCTTTCTGTGCCTGAAGGCCATTCCAGCTTGCTTCTTCACTCTGATGGCAGTGCAATACTCAAACACACCCAGTGTGCTTGTGCAGGGAATGCAATGCAGCAGTTACCTCTTTTCACAGCTCTGCTATATTCCTCTTTTTTTTTCTGTATTTCTGAAAATGCTATCTAAGCACATTTTCCCAGAGAGATCAATAGCTGCTTCATGTGTGTAAACTGATGAGTGTGGTTTACAAGAAAGATATGATAAAATCTGGACTTGCTGATATGGACAAATTCATTAAGATAACAGTCTGTTTATTTAATCTTATTGATGTGTTGTAGTTATAGATCACCTATTATTATAGCAATTCATTTCTGTTTCTATTCAGGTGATTTTTATCATTAGTTTTGTCCCTACACAGACGGCTCTAAATCACTTCTTTCAAGATTTAGAGATATTTCAGATTTAAAAAACAAAATGCTTCTGTCAGCTACAATGATAAAGATGAAAATAAATAGCTGGAGTCTATTGGCCAATAGTGTGAGGTCTTCAAGAAAAGCACTAGAATATATCAGCAGGATGGAAAAGCCCTTGGGTGATCCTGTTGAAGACTAAATTATGGACTTTGCAGCTTCAGAGCTGACTGTTGGGATAATGGAGCTGTAATCTCCAGCCTATTGGCTCATACTCGCTCCAACCCAGGAGAGGTGACAAATCACTGGGATCAAGGGGCCCTCTTGGGGCTCCTGTGAGATGTGCTTGGGATGGAAATCCCCTTTGTGGGGAAGACAGAACAGTTGAAGGTGTAATTAGCTCAGTGCAAAACTTGTGTCTCCATCTGGCAGAGATACACTTTGGGTACAGAACTTCTGGCACAACTTTTAAGCTGTGTTAAGTTTGTTTAATCTTGCACTGTGGTGCAATTCAGTCTCTTAGATGGAAAGCCTTTTTTTTACTGCTTGTGAAACTTTATGAGAAAGTCAGAGTTTTAGACTATGTCTTTCTTGAGTTTAATATTCTGTTTATACAGTAAATGCAAAATATGAAGGATGGTTCTAATGCTTTTATTGTGCAGTTAAAACCTACATTAAAAAAATCTGTTTCTACTACATAACAGTGTGTAGCTCTTCAGCATAACTGTTTTTCTAGTTATAAAGTCACTTTCCAAAATTTTATATGTGTAAATAGCTGGCAGTACAGAGATACCTTCACACCAAATAGGAAAATGTAATTGATGTTGTATTAAAACAAGTAATTTGTTCAAGCAGCCTGGATTATATTTTCATTGCTTAGATGATACATATTTGCCCTAAACATGCACCAATGTTCAAGCATTTTGAGTGGAAATGAATGAGAGCTGATGGAATTTCATGGCATGGCAGAAAATATTCCTATATATAGCACTTTCACAGGTGTGTTACCTAAAAGCGCAGACCACTTCTTTTTTTTTTTTTTTTTAAATTTTCTTAATTGTTTGTCCATTTTTAGTTTTGTTAGCAGTCACTGAAAGCAGTAGTCCAATCCTGTTGTTTGGGTGTTAGTTTTTTGCTTTTCTGAAAGGTTTTGATTATAACCATTCATGAAATTAGTTGAGCATCAGGCACTTGGATATAAGGATAGAAGTCGATATTCCAGATGGTGTCTGCTCAGAATTTTATTGTCTGGTTTATTGTTTTATTTAGTTATTTAGCCTTGCCTGGTCTTTCTTTTTTTTTTTTTCTTTTTTTTTGTTCTGATAAGATGTGACAGATGCTGATTCATCTGAAGTGTTGATTCTGATTTAGTTATTGCATGTGTTCTCCCAGGGAAAGTTTAAATTTATGGGAATTATTTTGAATAAGATATTAAAGGAATGAGAACACTGTATTGTCAGTGAAAGCCAAAATAGTACCTAGGTAAGCAAGGGTTCTTATTTTTAGTGATACATTCAAAACCTGTTGGCTGGTTATGTTGAACATTTAGGCAGTAAAAGTGATAACACAATAAAACGTAATTGTTCAGGTTTTTGCTGCCTTCCTGGGTAGTTTAGGAGGAGCAGTTTGAGTCTGCACAGAACAGCCAGAATAGTTGATATCTTCAGCTATTTTCTGCTTTGCAAAAAGAAGTGATGAAGTCATTCACATTGTGCTACACTTTTATAATGAACTCTGAGGTGTAGACAGACTTGCTACTGGTGCTGGACAGAGTTCTGCTTTTCAGTTTGAGACATCTAAAATTCAGTCCTAAACTGGGCTCTGTTCTTGGACTTAGCTGTAGCATTAATCTTGAAGTAATGTGGTTTGTTGTTTGGGTTTTTTTGTTTTTTTTTTTTTTTTTTTTTTTTCTACTCAGGTAGGAACGCAAACCAGGAGCAGCTGGCACCCCTTGGTTCCCCAGGCATGCAAATCCATGTGCCCGTACAGGCTCATGAAGAATTCTGTCAGGTGAAAACTGAGTCTGACAAATGTTGGAAAATTGGAAGGGTAACTGCAAGTTATCAGGGCAAGTTATGAAAATGTAAAGGGGTACCCTGGGACAAACCCTGTTCCCCAGAGAGCTTCACTGGGGCAGTGCACACATAAGCTCAGTCCGTGCTGCCCTGAAGGTGGGAGCAGATTTGGGCAGGGCAGCCCCCCCTCCCCCCTCAGCAAAGGTACCCACGTCTGTCACTTTGACATCGTAGGTGTTTTTATTCTATCGATTTTTTCAAGAAATGAGAGAGACTTGAAATTTACCGTGAATTAAGATGACAGACCATGTTTTCTCTCTATCACCCTCTCATGACTACTTCCCAGGGAGAGTAATTTAGGCATAGAGCAATGGGAGTTGTGATGGTGGAGTCTGAGGCTGGCAGAGAATATAATACACCTAACACAGGATATGTTGTGGTGTCTCACATGAATTATTTGGGGAATGAGTTGAGTTGAAGCTTAAATTTTGATTTGACAGCATTGTATTTAAACAAATAAACAGTGGCAAAAACTTTTGTATTCCTACACTGATTCATGATTCAAAACAGAGCCAGTATCCCAGAGGATATTACACTAACACTAGCAGAGAAAATAGGATATCAAAACTGTTGGCTCCAGAGCAGCAGGAAGCTGATTGATTTCCCCTCATCCCTTCAGAAACCTGGATTAGAGTAGCTGTACAACAGACAAATCAACAAAAATAATGGCACTTCTGACAGTATTGCAACCTTTTATTAGCTCCACCTGCACCACTTGACATTCACAACTCCTGGTATAAAATGTGGGATAGTATTCAAAGTACAGAGTCTGCAGTAGGCTCTGGTGTGCCATGAAATTATGGAAGTACTTCCCCAAGCATAGAGCTTTTCCCCTGAGGATAGGAGAGACAGAACTGAGATTTGAGTGACATTTCAGCCACCTGATGTCATAGGGATGAAATCTGAGTCTTCAAAAGAGCTCCAGGAACATGTGGTGGCAGAGATGCTCCAGCCCTTGAATCATCTTCGTGGCCTCCTCTGGGCTCTTTCCAACAGGTTCACTTCCTTCTTATGCTGGGGACCCCAGAGCTGGATGAAGCACCTGTAGGTGGGGTCTCACAAGAGAAGCATAGAGGGGCAGAATCCCCTCCCTCCTGCTGCCCACACTGCTTGGGATGCAGCCCAGGACAGTTTCTGGGCTGTGAGTGCACAAGGATGGGTTGTGTTGAGCTTCTCCTCCACCAGCACCTCCCAAGTCCTTCCCCTCATGGCTGCTCTCATTCCACTGACTGAGAACAGTGAGCTGTCCATCCAAATCTTTCAATATGTTGGATCTGAATATTTAAATAAAATATCACAATTGAGCTAGAGAATATATTAAGTCTGTAAGGAAAAGCAGAGGGGAGTTATCCACATTTTCCTTTTGGTGTTATAGAGTGCTACAGCCCTTTCAATTTGCACTGAGCAAAAAATAACTCACTATAGGGGTTTCACAAACTCTTCTCAGTTTCTATCACTATCATACTAAGAAAAGAAATAAGAAATAAGAAATAAAAATAATAGTAAGTTTAATGTAAAAATAAAAGTGAGTAGTATTGAAATCACTGGTTTAATATGCTTTTTACCCTCATATAAGTACGTGTAGATTGGGACTGATCTGATCCAATTTATAAATATAAATAACAGCAAAATTTCAGGACCAATTCTTAAATGAACTTCTGTATTTAAATTTTATGCCAACTTTTGTTTACTCTTCTATCAGTGCAAAATCAGCTGACATTGAGTTAGTAATAACAAAAAAAGAAATTGACTGCTCTCCATTGATACAGAATTAAAATTGGAAGAAAGTAAAACCCTAAAATTATACTCAAGCAACAGCTTCAAAACTAAATATAAGAAAGCTTTTTTTATGATGGAATAAAAATTTATTTCCTTCATATCTACTAATCACAGAATTTTGTGTAACTTCAAGTGTCTGAATGACAGGCATTGTGCAGAAATTAAAATGAATACTAAGCTGAAGTCTGTTCAGTTTAGCAGATGGGGGATTTGGAGGATGCTGGTACTTTGGAAAGTGTGTGGTCCTTGGGAGATTTGTTCTTCAGCATAATTTTTCTATGGAACAAAAACTCCAATTTAAATAACTCTATAGACACATAATTTTATTTTATAAACTACACTTTGAATTTCTGTAAAAGAATACCACCTAGCTTGCCGTGACACCCTTTCATACTGAAAAGAGAATTGTTAATCTGGACTACTAAATTTCTGGTCTTTACAGGGAAGCTTCAAGAACAGTATTTTGATCAAAACACTCTCAGTTCTGTTTATGAATCTGGGAATATGCATCAGCTGAATTGTGTCTGTGCTTTTAATATTAATGGAAACAACAATAAGAATCTGCATAGACACAGAGGGATCAGTGTATACAGATCTCTCAAAACATAAAATAGAGACACAAGGTAGGAGAAGGAATGCAGAGCCATCCTTCTCTTCTGCATTGTTTTTTATGCCAGTATTTTGATTTGCACTGCCAGGGGGATTAGGAATGGCATGGAGGAAAAAGCATGCTCAGTTTCTAGGGAGTAGTACACTTTCTGGTTTTAAATTAGTCAACTATTTATGAAGAGCATGTTTGATAAAGCCCAGTGAAATCTGCCTAGAAATGTCATTGATGTTTTCCTCAACTTTTTAACCAGCGTAACCTAAGTGGAACTTTCAATAGGATTTTATTCTTCTAAACTCTGAATTAAATGAAAGATGTGATCTCAGAAACCTGATTCACTAATTAAAAAATCTATCTTGTTCAGGTCAGCCATCAGCCGTAATTTTGTTGAATAATTGATGTCAGACTTCTAAATCCTTCCTTTTTTTTTTTTTTTTTTTTTAAAGTTTAGCAAGAAGCCAAAACAGTATTACTATGAAATGATCCCAGCTTCTATTAACAGGATCAACAGATTGCTGAGAGCTAATGCAGTAACAGCACCAGAACTAAAAGAGGATGTATCTATCAGTTGATTTTTTTGATTGCTGGCAGTACATGTGAAATGGACTATTCACTTATTGCTGGCAAGCTAACAACAGACTGGTGCCAAGATAATACAACTAAACTGACTGGATCAGCCAGACATTCATTTTTTTCTGAAGTTTGGAAAGCAAACCTCTGACCAGTATTGTTTATTAGAGCCGCTTCCTCCAAATGCTGCTCTGGATTCTTCCCTTCCAGCTGCGTGTTGCCAGAGCATTCTTGCTGTTGAAGTGGTCAGCTCGCTCTAACAGCTGTGGGTGCTGTTTTGCCTTTGAGGGGGGTTGAACCCAGCAGATCCAGCAATAGGTGATTTTACAGCATGGGACACGAAAAGACTTTTTTCCCCCTTTTCATATGATCCTGACTGGTGAGTGTGCTGCTCTCTAGAACCACCATTTCCATCTCTCTACCCAGTCTGTGGTTAAAGCAATTAAAGCACTTTGTTGCCCTTGTACCACATTCAAATACTCTGCCTAGCCAATAAGGGCTTAGTCAATTAAATTGATTAGAGTTTATAGTGGAAGATATGTTGGCCCTTGTTACCAAATATATCTCATCTAAGTATGCAGACTGCCAGAAAAGGCATTTTGCTGGTTCATTGAGTATGAGAAATTTGCAATAGAAAATGCATTGTTGTAGCACTTTTTCTTTCCACATGCAAGTCAAACATTTTTTCACAGATTCAGAGCATGCTTCAGATAACATCTGAAAAAACTGCTAATGTGAAACTTGTTTTTCTGCTGAATCCCTGGAAAAACTTTCTAGTCTGTGTTAGCATAAAGGGAGCTGTTACTGTTACGTATGGATCCCTGATTTAAGTAAGAGATATACCAAAGAGTAAATAAGGGTCTGATACATGGCAGACAGGGATGTTGAGGTTTGTGGTGAGGGAGCTGAAAGTACTAATTCTGGGGTTCATGAGAAACAGAGCAAATGATCTGTGGACTGTGAGCTGCACCACCAGTTTGATGATGGGACACTGGACTTGCTGATCAAGTGTGATTTGCCATATTATTTGTCCATGGAACTTTGTTCACCTCTCACAAAGCCTTCGTTGTGGAGTAGCTTCAATACAGTGGATAAATGGGTTCCACCTTAAAGCTCATGGTTCAAAGTTATTGCTGTATCCCAGGGAATTATTGCTTCCCTTCTCCACTTCCTCCTTCATTCAAGGAAGCACAGGGTTTCAAAGGGGAGCAGCAGTGCTGTGAAGAGGATGAGAGAGGGTGAAAGGAGCACTAATATCTCATACCAGTCACAGGGCAAGACTTATTTGCTTCCCTCTGCCTGAGCCCCTCCAACAGTTAACTCATCCATCTGGAGTTTGGTCATATAAGAAGATTGGGCTGTATATCTTCCATGAAAGTTGTAATCTGCTTATGTCTTGTTGTTTGACTTCCTAATTTAGTTTTCTTTTTCTTTGTGCTAAAAAAAGTTAATTGCTCTTTTACTGCAAGTTCTCTTGATTAATAAGGCAGAAAAATCATAACATAATGTCTAGAGTATTGCATTTTCCTCCCAGAGGCAACAGCAGTGTCACAAGCACAGGGCTGTACCCTTGCAGTCTAAGTACCTAGGGAAAAGGGAAGCCAGCAAGCTGGGAATTTTTGCTTAAAAACAAATTGAATGAGTGAATAAAGAAAATCATTAAGACTTCATCTATAAATACTCTCTAATTTAAATTCACATCAGCATGAAATTTTAAAGATTTATTTCCATAATTTGAAGTAAAAGGTATTTGTTTTAGGGATGATTAATTCACACATTGGCTTATGGGTAAGGGAAAATTGCAGGATCAGGGTAGTATAAATTAAGAGTTGGAGTACGTGTACTAAAAGTGTGAGAAAAGATTTTAGTCAAGGTTTTTTCCCAGTTCCTTTTTCTTATTAGCATAGGAGTTGTAGAATTTTCTGATTCATTAGCAGTAAACAGGTACTGGTTTTATCACCATAATAAATGAAATTATC